CGTGTCAAGGGAAAGTATAGGAATTGGTCCCGAAAACTTTTTTCGCAAAATTAGCTTAGATCATCATAAAAACTCATGAAACGCATAGAAAACCACTTTTTGAGACACTTTTCCGTTCGTGTGCCGTCGTCGTTGTCGTCGTTGGTGTGTGTTAACACGATAACTCAAAAAATAATTGAGATAATCAAAATCTGGAAATGCCAAAAGTTTTGTATTCAAAAAACTTAGTTTAAGTTCGAAGATGAGCCATTTTCGATTTGATCCTGGGGTACTTGCCCTAAGAAAAACCTCAAAAAATTGACACTTTTGTATGGGAGGTACCTGTAAATCGACTCCGATTGACTTCAAATTTTCTGGGATTTAATTCTTTGAGAGAAAAATAAGATTCTGGAAGTTTGAAACCAATCGGAATCGATTTACGGGTACCTCCCATACAAATTGTTTGAAATTTTGACTAAAATTACCGATTTTTGAACAATTTTGTATGGGAGGTACCCGTTAATCGATTCTGATTGGCATCAAACTTTCTGAGGTTTCAGTTTTTGGAGAAAAAATAAGATTCTGAAAGTTTCATGTTGATCGCATTTGCAGAAGTTTGATTTTTTGGCCTCAATTTTTTCCAAGAAAATTTCGACAAAAATTGAGGACAAAAAATCAAACTTCTGTAAATGTGATCAACATGAAACTTTCAGAATCTCATTTTTTCTCGAAAAAATGAAACTTTGAAAAGTTTGAAGCCAATAGGATACGGTTTACGGGTACCTGTCATACCAAATTGTCCAAAAATCGGTAATTTTAGTCAAAATTTCAAAAATTTTGTATGGGAGCTACCCGTAAATCGATTCCGAATGGTTTCAAACTTTCAGTAGTAGTTAAGCCAATGAGAGTCGGTTTACGGGTACCTCTCATACAAAATTGTCGAAGTTTTAGTTAAAGTGACTGATTTTTCACTTTATTTTTATTATTATATTTTCACTGCCTTTATTTCAAGAAAATTCACAAAAAATAACCAAAAGTACCTACGGACAACGCAGGCCAACGGTACGGAAAAGTTCGGGATTACCAATGTAATTCTTTTTATTTATTTTAAGCTTACGCATTAATGTGACTGAGAGATGAGCAAAAAAAATGGCAACGTTCAAATTCCAAATCCCCCATATTATTGTTGATAAATATGCGATTAAGTCGCATAATTTTCGATTAATATCGTTTAAAATTATGATATTGACCATAAACACCTTCCAATTGGACATGGTGTGTATGTGATAAGGTTTGTACGGCAGAGTGGATCAATATTGCGTTCAAATATGGAACTAGACGCATACTGAGAATAGAACAAAACTAATTAGCAGTTGGTGATCGCGTGCGTGTGAGCGCTTTTTATGACCCTGACACACAATCAATGTGTCGCATTTCAATCATAACATCACAACTATTACTTGACCTTTGACTTCTAAATCAATAACGCACATTATATAAATAGTGATCGGAGTACCTGCGATCAAGATGTTCATGCGCTTTGATCGACGATTCTTTGATAGAAAAATCGATTCGGCCACCTTTCACTTTGTGAATTATCAATATTTTCGTAATCGAAATAAGATTACTCAGCTTCTTACTACTGTTTGATATCATAATGTTATTCCAGCAAATTGGCCGTGGTTAAGCAGATGACGCAAGTGATCGTTCTAAAGTATGTTTTTATCTTTTCGCAATCGAAAAAACGATGTGTGACAAAAATAATCTCGATTCGTGAGAACACCGAGTGCACATCATCAGATTTTTGTCGAGTTCAAGGTGAACGGGCCGATTGTATTTGAAATACAGTATTTCCAGTTAGGTTTTGCGCGATAATATTTTATTAATATAGCATTATTCGGAATAATTTATTTAGTTTTGGACGTGATATTTATATATACTCTTTTTTCATTTCTTTTTTATGGCGTCTCACTTCTCTTTAGAACGAATTTGGTTTAATTTCGCGAAATAAGTCGCATGTAAGCCAGCCAGACAGATTAGATGGTTTAAAATGCAACCGAATCTGTCTAAATGAGAATTATATTCCATGATTATGTCTGACTTGTTTGGAGAATGATACATTCAGTAGCCATATGTTTGTCCTTCATCCGGATGAATCGAGATGGTAATCATTACCGGGTAATGAACAACATGATTTCAAACACACAAGATGAATTGATGGTATTCATATGTGAAAATTCTGCGAGTTATTACCTATACTCATTGGTTTTATTTCCCGGTGAAACTAGAATTTATTCGGTGCTTTGGTCAAGACGCAAGGTTCTCTGGTGGGATGCAAACTGATCAACGTCAAACTTGAAAGTTCGACGCAAATCAATAAAAAGTATCACATGGAGCTCATCAAAATGAAGGAAATAGCTTGATGAGTGTATTAAATAAGAGGTGTAATCATTCCGTTGGCACAACAACGTATCGATATCATATGGTTTGGCTCTGCTGTTTGACTCAGCGTGTGTACAAATAGTCTTTTAGCTAAAAGACGCTATGTTGTTATAGTGGTTTTGCTGAATCACACATTTCTCTTGCTGTGTTTTTGTTGGTTTAATTTCCATAGCAAACCGCTTTTTTCAGTGAATATCATTGAGACATTAGCAAAAAAAAAATTGACACGCTGACTTATGCACGGTGTTGAAGAATACTAAAAGCTTGTGATTGATCAAAAGTAGGCCAATCGAATCGATTGGAGAGATGAAATGATTCAAAGCTCTGTAATGATTAATTGACACTTGCATTAAACTGCGCGTCAATTTCACGCATCTGCATTTTTCTACGCGCAGTAATCAGTGCTGCAGATCAAATCGCATTCACTACACAAACGGCAGCAGCAATTTGAAAGCGTTTATCGCAAATATCTTGACGTAATCATTTAAATAGATTGAAATTGCAACGATAGAGTCTGTGTTTTGAAATCCGTGTCTTCAGTCATTCAAGTATTTTCCTTATTAATTGTCTAACTCTTTTCAATTCGCACACCAATGATGTGAAGTGTGTGCGGTGGCTGGAATGTTTTATCAGCCCATAAATTTCATAGAATATTGAAATGCCGTGTCAATTTCGATTAAGATAATTTATTTCTTGGTTTTTGCATTTTCACTTCAGTTTTCCCCCCACTTTCTACTTCAACTCATTTTCAAGATTGTGAAATCCGACTAATAGATTCGTATGAATTACAACAGGTGAGTAAGTCACCGTGAGTTAGATCTTATATGAAAAACGAAGATGTCACTTTGAGAACATTTTCTCTCAAATTCACTGGAATTTCACTTCAAACAGTCACATGTTGCCATTGTAGAGAGAGATCTGCCATTATATTGAGATGAAATCTCTGGATGTTGAAGTTTGAAATGACAAATTGGCCTTCGGATTTTAAGTGACAGAGTAGGTGATTTAGAAGTGATAGAAAAACTCGATTTGAACGTGATTGAAATAGAGATGTTCGAAAGAGCTAAGCCCTCGTCGACAACACCCTTCTTTCATAATGTCCAGCCGATTATTTCAATGTGTCAGTCGCCACCTAAATGCAGGTCGATTCTAGCAGACAACAATTCAACAGAAAAAAAACTTTCACATATAAATTCCAATGCGACTCATTTTATGAGCGGTAAAAAATAATTGCTTGAAATCACATCGTTGTGGTAGTGTTCTTTTATGCGACACACTGAGCACATATATTCAAATGATATAATCGCTCAATTCATTTGGAAAAAATGAAAATCATCCACGAGCAAAAGACAATGAATGAGAGAGAGAGAGAGAGACGTACGTCTGATTTGTATTTGGAACGAAAATCATACTATCGCCCGAAGTGTGCGATCGTCTGCTCATATACACATGATTTACACGTCTACCGAAATGTCTCTGCCAAGCAGAAAGTCGAGCTAAGAATATGTGATTAAGTTCAACCGATGAAAACAAGATAAACACACATATTTTTTTTCTCATTCGTTGTTCATCGGTTCCAAGTGAAACCCATTGAGTTCTTGCAATAACGAACTGGAAAAAAAGTAAAATGAATACAAAAGCAAACAAAGCAAAGATTCTCTCCGGTAAGGAAGCCACAAAATCGTTTCAATAGAATTCATGAAATTTGTTTCAGCGCTTTCATTATCAAACGAAGGCAGGTTCAATTTTATTGTATTCATGCTGGTGGCTGGCTCATTTTAAAGAAGAGCTGCCGAAATCAACAAAATGGAACATGCTTTGCGGATATAGACTGAGGAAAGTAAATTACATACGATTTTACTGCTGCTGCAGTGAGCACGTTGAGCACGAACTTTCAATACCAATATTAGCGAGATGTTCAATTGTTGTTCTGCCAGCAAGAACAATGGACTGGAATTTCTTGGCCGAAATCGAAATGAAACCGGCTGAAGATGCACCGCGTTCAATTCTGGAAAAAGTCAACGTCGATTAGTGCAATCGATAGCATATGTGGTGACGACCGACCAAATGCAGTTTTTCATTCAACGTGATAAAGCACAAAGACGAGAACGAAGACGAACCAAGACGAACCAAGACAAATGAAATCTAGGTAATGTGCTGAACATACGAAATCCAGAAAAGCATTGCGGTGTAATCAACAGAGTTCTATTGAATACGAGACGATCATTTTGTAAACTGAGCAAATCGAGAAATTCGACTTTTCAACTTCGCTCCTGGGAACCGGTTCCATTTGACAATCAACCGCAGAGAAGAAAGTGGAATTCAAGTATGAAGCACTAAAAAATGCAATAAATTGGAAGAAGTACACACGCAAGCATACGAAATACGGAACTAATTTTACGAAGAAAAAATAACAGAAATACTTTCATGTGATTTTCATTGATGACGTGACGATGACCGCAGCCCAATGACTCGGCGAAAACATTAACGATCCGGCTCGATTGAAGCCTCATGGCACACAGACACTGAAATGGCTTTTAAAAAAATTGAATCTTAAATGTGTCATTAAAAAAAACAACACGGACTGGCCGAAAAAAAGAGAGAAAAGTTGAGAATCGTTAAAAAATAAAGCGAAAGTTTGAAAAAGCCGCGTCATGCGGCGAAAAAAAATGCACGAAATTCAGTGTAAAATGAAAATTCGTCGATAAAATGGCCTTTTGTTTAAGAAACAGTGTTGGCCTTTGTACCGGCTGTGATTCCTGTTGTTAGCCAATTGTTTGCATTGAATTGCCTACAAATTGGCCATTGGCTGCGGCAAAACAAACGGTCATTACGATTTAGTTGCAAATAGGCGATATTCCTTATTATCGTTATCCAACAAATTAACGCAGGTCAACTAATAATAAAAAAACAAAGGCAGAAAGCAAAAACAATAACCCAACGACCACTTAACAGATCACTGAGCAGCTATAATTTATATCAAGCAGTTTGAGATCGCTCTGCCGAATAATTGTGTGTGCTCTCACATCCACTTAACATTCAAGTCTATGCTTAACAATCAAGTTTTGGTTCTAAATGTGCCGAAGAGAAGCAAAAAATCCATTGAAGCGATATTTATCTTGTTTATTCGTAATAGTCAAAAACAAATCTGCTAACGAAAAAGAAGAATCTGAAACGAACGCCAGCACTTGAAGTGCGGAGACAATGCGAATGGTATATAATCATACGCTATCAATTCAATGAGCCGCACACTTGGTCGAATTGACGCGCAAAAACAACGGCTAAATCTATACGTGTATTTAAATGGTGATAAAGCCGACAAATACATTGGCACAAATGGAACGGTACACCGTTTGGGAGAGCAAGAGAAATACGCGACGAAAGAGAATCGACGAAATGAATGAACGAACAAACGAAACGCATAGTGTCAGCAGACACACAGATCCATACGCTCAGACGAGGTGAGCAAGAGAGCGATCGAGTGATCGTGCGCGCAGCACTACACCGAAAGAAATGGAAAAGAAATGGTAAAAGAAGAAAAGAGGTCTTTCTTCTTTATTAAAAAAAAGTGGTACATCGTTTGAGTGCACAAGCCATCAGCCCAGCCAGCCAGCCAGCCAGCGCTAGCAAGACCAAAATCGAATGAGAACTGAATCGTTAGTCGTATTTTAAAATCAGTGGAATAAAGACGTGCAACGAGCTCGTTTGCTATCGAAGTTAATACGCATACGCGCGTGCTCTTCATTCAGAAACCAATTTCAAATTCAGCATTTTGATACGATCGAAAACTAGTTAACGAATTATTTGAAAGCCCCCGATAAACTTGCATACCAAAGTAGGCAAACACAATTGAAGAGAAGACGACGACACGACACGAATCGAAGGAAGGAAAAAAAAACCCGACAAAATTCCATTATTCTTTCTCTTCTTGCATATTTATTGGCCTTTGCTTTGGCTTCTTGATCACGAAGGCCAAAGCGAAACGAACGATCGAACGAAAGAAAAATTCTCTTTCTGCTTTCGGTTTGCAACGTAAACGAATTTTTCTACATATTAGATTTGAGTGTTCAATGTGCCGTGGAATACAAAATTCTTTTGAATCAATTTTGCGCCGATTACGACGCCAATCGATACCATTGAGTTGTGCAAATGAATTCTAATCCCATTTATGGCATGTGAGCAAAAAAGAAGAAACGAAGAAAAAAGTAAACAAACAATTTGATAAATAAATCGAAATTGCACTCGTGCGCCGACGTAGAGAAAAGTAAAGTGGAAGAGTGTTTGCGTGCCACGATCGATTTTGATGAATTAACGGTCGCGCAACAAAATTCGAATTCAACGAAACATTCTCAATTGCATGTTAATTGCATATTTTGACATTTTTTTTCTCGTTCGGTTATTTGTGCAACGAGTGAATGCAACGAAAGCCCAAAACAAATAGTGCAATTTACAATTTTTGACGCCTGATTTTTCGATTAATATCGATTGCTTGCATCGATAGATCAACGAGAGAAATTTCTTTTGAAAGGTATGTTTATTTAAATTTTGAGTATGATTTTAATCCATATTTTAGCAATTCAACTTTTAAATGGCGTCAATCGTATCCACGAATCATATTCAGAAGACCACACAATGCGTGTACGACGGGCATTGTGCAATTTGAAGGTTTTCTTTCTTTCTACCGATTACTGTTCTATTTGTCGTACATTTTCTGTGCAAGCGTTGAGTGTGTGTGTGTTTCTTTCATTGCACCGGTGCGAGATGCATTTTTTCGTGCGCTTTAATTGTAACAAGACTGAGAGAAAGAGATTCCTCTACATGAGATGTGATTGTTCGTGTTCTGCGCATTTATTCATTTGGCTGAGTTGAGAATGACAGTTAAAAATAACAATAAAACTTCGGTTAATACGCACCAGAAACTCCTCTTTCATGTCAAAACCAGTGCTGTGATTTGACTGCGGACGACTTATTTTAACTCATACACACACGCGACTGAAATAACTTTGAAACTCACAACGCGACAAAGAAAAAAAACTAAAACTGTGTTTGACACTGAAAAATGGGAAATAATTGACAAGAGAATAGAACAATCGTTTGTGGTTAGGCAATCGGTTTGCATTGAAAATTGTCGTCTGTGATTGTTTTTCTGAAGATTCCAGCATTTTTCGGTTCGAATTGTCTTTTTCAATGGGAATTGAGCTACAAACGAATTGTCGAATAGAATCAAAGGCCAATAGTCGAATAGAATTGAAAAAAAAAACAATGGCAGAATAGAATCATAAATCAACGGTCGATTTAAATCACAAACAAAGCCGAATACAGTATTTCGGTTTTTCTCTTGTTGAAAAATACGTAAAAAGTTATGAGTTGCTAAAAAACGTGGTAAAAACCGCGTGCGGACGATCGATAGGTTTGCACCGTTTCGCGCACCGAAATGCAAACCTTTTTAATTGGTCGCACTTTCTACGCTCAATTTTTGCCTCTCGTAAGATATGATGCGTGCGTGTGCGGTTTTCTCTTTCGTCCGACCAACAAAAATGCGAAGCACTTCAGTTTAGTTCATTTTTGTTCCATAAGCTTGAGCTATAAGAATGCGCCTCATTTGACCGTTTAAAACATGAATCATTTTGTGGTGAATTCCATACGTGTGTGGAAATAAATCTATTTACCGTTTTCTATACGAAACCTTGTTTGCGTACAGCAACAATAATCGCCAAACACTCCTTGTGTGTGTCATCCATAAAAGTCGATCAATTGTCTGTTCCCATTGTGATGTACAAAACAAAAGTAAATCGACAAAATACCAGCCAGCCGACCACCAATGGGGTCCGGTTTTGAGGAAGTGAAATGTGTGTGATTCATGGTGAGTATATAACTTTCTTTGTATGCGTTTTGTGTGTGTGCGTGCGACATTCTCACTGTCCACTGGCTCCTTTTCGCTATCATGCGAATACCGAGAAAGAAAGAAAAAAAACCATTCAGCATCCAGCACCATTCTTGTTTCTGTACACGTGTATTTGTGTATAATTACACGACGTAAAGAACAGCAAGCATGCTGGATGAAAACTGAACCGACCGCTTTTACTCAATTGTCATATATTCTGGTCGGTCGATCGGTCAGTCAGCCGTACTAGTGCACAAGATAAGCAGCTCTCATAAATTACAAAAACTCTCTTGCACTCAAAACAAGTGCCAGTGTGTACGTGATTTCCGAAATCGAAACGAATACACCAGAACGGCCCCAAAAAAGCGCATATGGAGAGCGCGTGCATCTTGAATCGTCGTCATCATAATCGATATTCCTTATAAGCCGCATGAAAATATACCACATGAACATGCCATGTAGAGAAAAAAAATAGTAACGACAAAACCAGTTCCAAAGCAAAGAAGAAGAAAAAAACGAAAGAATATATTGAATGTGCGCATACGGGATCAGGCATGATGCGACCGTTTTGCTGTTTATCCCAACCGACAATTCACAATACGAATCGAAATTCCGATATGACGCAAAGCGAAAACTAGGAAGTTGAAATCGAAGTCGTCGATCTCGTGCAGCGTTCCGTTCGTTCACTGGCACCAAATGTAGGTCTAGGTTTTCGCGCGTCGGCCGTGCGAACACGATGCAGCAGTTGGAGGGAAAGAGACCAGTTCCAAAGTGACCCACTGATATCGTTCGAGAGAGTATAAAAAAGCAATGCGCATCACATATCTCAATGTGTCGTGTGTCGCTTTGACGTTGTTTGTCCACTTGTTTGATGTGTAATTTGTACATTTTTCACATGGCTCTTCAATTAAGGTGGAGTTTTGCGTAAATGACGATCGTAAAAATTCATACGCCCAATGCTTAAGCTCGATGGCTTTTTCTATCTTCCTCGGGAAACATTTTAATTTTTTCAACAATGATTAATGCAATTTCCCTCGCGCACACTTTCCTACCAGTTTAACGACGAAAACGTTTGTTGGAGCATTTTTGCTCAAGTGTGATCTCATCTGCATGGCAACTGCCGCAGCAGCAACGGTAGAATAATGCGCAATGGAAGAGCAACAAGAAAAGTCCGCCGAAGAGAAGATGTAATATTTCAAGCGTTATAATTATTATAATTTAGAAATCGGACAAAATACCAGAGGAAATACTAATAAATAGGGTGTGATGTTGAAAATTGATTGGAATTTGTCTGTTTTTTTTTCTCAGTAAAATCGCCCAAATCAATTGCGGTCACGCTTGTTCAAACAGAATCACTGAAGCAAATGCGTGTACTAAGTACATAGAATCTCACTATCGAAGTCAAAGGCATTTTTCATGGCAATTTTTTTTCTACTTCATCTCACATCTATCTGTGCACAAACAAAGTTTCCATTTTACCACATCTCGGTAGTAGAAACCAATTGAATTCTCCGAAATTGAATTCAACAACAAGCGTTTGTGTTATTATTCAACGTGTGAAATCATAACAAGCGTAGTTAATGAACTTAAACATTGGAAACAAATTGAAAAGACGAAATGGTTCGACATGTCCAACACTTTCTTGTTTAGAAAAGAAAAAAACGATGGACTCTCGCGTATCCATGTCGCTATTAGTAAGTAAGCATGTTGTAACAACAATAGTTTATGGATGCCCAATTTTAAAATACAATTTGTAGGCCCGAGAGAGAGATTCATTTCACTGCCAGAATCACGTGCGCATGATATTTATTTTATTATATGGCCTGAAAACAAGGCTTCGAGACCACAAGTGAAAGAATCGTCATATTCCCAGGTTTCTTTTCTTTCCTTCCTAATAATTATTCATCGGCGCGAAACTTTCGTACGACAGCGCCCATTATCTCATTTGATCTTTGTCGGTGGAAAAAATGTATATTGTCAACACGTGCCGATGTGTGGTTAGCATAGAATGTATTCGTCGAAACGTCGTAAAATTTAGCTTGAACCTCGAACAATTCAATCAAAATTCATAGGCATTTCATCGGTATTTTCACTCTTTTGACGGCATTTTTAGTATCTTTGGAATAACATGAATGTAGTTTGCATCAGAAATTCCGCGAAGAAACGACGAAAAAAATCAACAACGAAAAGAAAAGTCATTCAATTGACGCGTTCTCCATTGTGATTGGGTGCTATGATAGCAATGTTTCCGCATATCAAAATTGATCAAATTCAATGTTTTTTTTTCTTCTTCTTGATGTGAAAAAGTGAAAAAGTAATTCCGGCCCAAACATATGGGAAATAAAAGAGATGGTTCATCTAACTTTCCGTTGTGAACTTGAAATACAAATGCAAATGAGAAGAAATTAAGTGATAAACAACAAAAAAGCATATTCCGCTGATTTATCTTTGGCTAGCATGCCAACAGCATTTGAACAGTCGAAATATTAAGAAAATGAAATATTTTGTTATTTTTGCGAAGCAAAAAAGAAGAAAAGAAATTGATTGTAGTAGATGATTCTTCACCATGGTTTTATGTACGTTGAGCGCATCGCACACTCAAGTGTAATATGATCGAGAGAAATGGGTCAAGTTGATGCACTTTCATAATTCCGATATTTTGTTTTAGTTGTGTGTTGTTGTTGTTTTTCTTTCATTCTCAACACTTTCATCGAAATTATGATTGTGTGCGTATGGATTTCTTTATCATATTTTTTTTTCGTTTGTGAGCTTTGTATTTGTTGATGCTTTGAAGCTGTTGCGGCTGCTGCGTCGATTTCGTTTTTCATTCATACATCATCGCGTTCAAAACGCCGCCATATTCGTTGGTTTTGTTTGTTTTTTTTTCGTTTTTTCTTCGCGTTGTGAGTGTTAATGCATTTACGTCGATACAATTGCGACTGAAGCGTAAAAATAAATCCATTAGACTTTTCACCATAAACATCTATTTGCACATGCTCACTTGCATCGTTACAGCCGTATGATTTTCAGTTTCATTAACATTAATTTCTCGCGCACACACACACACACACACACACACACATGTACACTATCGAGCTGCTACATTCGCAGAAAATAACAATGCCAGAAGAGAAGAATAAAAATGATAACAATAATTTTCATTTCCGACCAGACAAAAGAATTAAGTGAAACTGTTATTGCCTGCGAGTGTGTTGCAACACTCAACAATCGTGCACCATTTCACTTCTGTTCTGTGCTGTGTGTGTGTGCACGCTGCAGTCGATTAGAATCGGCAAATGATCACGTTTGATCAATCAAATAATTACGATGATTCTGTTGGGTGGAACATGGACGACCAACATCGATAGCACTGAAGATGAAACTGAACGATCAAAATTGACGTCAATCAACAAAATTCCCACGTCTCGTTACTTTATTCCGCACAATTCATCAAATGAGATTTTCATTTTCATTTGAGCAGCGCGCGGCACGGAAATGAAATGTTTTCGATCAATTCACCGCTTTTCTATATCTATCGTTGGAATTTTCGAAAACAAGAAATCGAGCGAATTCAGAAAATGTACGGAAACGAATATACAACGGAAGGAAAACATTGTATTTGGAATAACAATCAAATGTGAGTC